ATGTACTCCTTTAATATAGCCGTCACATTAAGTTAACGTCAATTGTGGTTAGGTGCCATGCGCTGAAGTTGATTTATGTAGCAGTGTGCAGGGCAGCATCCTCGCGAGCATCAGCGCTTCAAATCATCTTCTGGTGTTGCTAATACGCATGTTCCAGTTGCCATCGCTGCGCAAGTGCAACCGACTGGTTATATAAACATCTGCAACGCTTAAACTTGTGCCTTTGCGTGCAACATTTGTACATATATTGAGTGTTATTTCATCACGTGTCACTCAATAAAAAAAAATGCAACATGGTCACCTTCCCTTCGTATGCTTCGCATAACGTTGATTCCCAGGTACGTGGGATCTGCCTATTTTTAGATCTGGGGCACCTAAGCTGCTTGAGTACATGAGCCGTTGCGTTCTTTGTGTCCCATGTTCTGTGTATGCGGGTGAAAAAAAAATGCGAGAGCGTGATTAGGTAAGCGGCGTGGGTTTCCAGGCATTAAAACTTTCTTTTACGAGTTGCATGCTGTTGGTACACATCGTACGTACTTTTAATCATTTGCTGCGTAAAGTGCTGGATATAACGAAAGCTTTATACTTTTTTTCATGCATTTTCTCGGCATTAAGCTAGCACGTACAAGCCTTAGATGGGACCCGACTAAGAGTGTGGTTCTGATTATCCCGTATTTGACAAAAAGATAGTTCTTATATTACTCCGCTTTCAGTGTTTCCCATAGCCTCGTCGACGATTTACAAGTTCCAGGGCATCAAGGCCGTGCGCGAGTCTAGTGACCCGGTGCTTGCTCTGGAGGAGCCTTGATGGTTGGGTGGCTACACGTTCATCCTGACCTGTATATTCGAGTTTTCCGGAGTAAGCTGTCCGACGTGTCCTTTCTGTTCACCCTCTGCCCCGGTGAGAGGGACGACTTCGTGCAGTGGCCGTTGACCAGGCGAGTTAAGCTCAGCATCGTCCACCCGAAGAAACCAGAGAAGAACCTTCCCGTCGAGTTGAAGATTTGCCAAGAAAAGCACGCACAAAGCCTGAAGAGGCCGCAGTCGGGAGAGCTGCAGAACGGCATACTCTCGGTTAAGACCACGTGGAAGTACCTCGAAAAGAAAGAGCTTGTCAGTGACAACTGTCTGTCAATGGTCGTCGAGTTCGAATGAGCAGCCACTTACACGTTCTAAACTCCATGTTTCACTGTGTCCTTTTTGTTTAGAAAAAATTTGTTGCCACAAACATCAATAACGCTCAACCAAACATTTCCTTCTTAGACATACTCTAACGATGATGACAAAACAGACGTCATTTACATGAACATGGATATGAGATGACGTTAAAAGAACATGTACTTTCGATGGTTAGGGGCGAAGCTCCTTATAGCGACACTTGTTCGTCCCTCGTAGCCGTTGTAGTATGCAACAAGTATAACATTTTTGACCTCCAAGGTGGTGCCGGTGAGAGATTTCTCCTGTGCGTTGTTGAACACTAAAAAATAGAGCTAAATGTATATGCCAATGGCTGCTAATGGGGAATGAGAGACAGGGGCATTCGGCTTTTAGTAAACGCGCACGCTGCCATCCCCATTAGCAGCCATTAGCATGTACATTGAGCATAATCTGACAAGAAAAAGTTGCTGCGTTATACTCGCTGGGTGTAACCTCCTTAGTTTAAGAAAGGTTTAGCGAGCGTTGAGCCGCAGTGCCATGAATACAACGAACTAATATACACCATGAATGAACTCGAGGTGGTTAAAGGTGGGAAATAGATACGAAGCGCAAGCCGTAAGAAAGTAAAAGCCGAATTCTCCTGTCTCTCATTTCCCATTAGCAGCCATTGGCATGTACATTGAGCACTATCTGACAGGAAAAGGTTGCTGCGTTATACTCGCTGGGCGTAACCTCCTTAATTTTAGAAAGGTTTAGCGAGCGTAGGGCCGCAGTGCCATGAATACAGTGAACTAGTATATACCATGAACTCGAGGTGGTTAAAAGTGGGAAGTAGATTCGAAGCGTAAGCCGTAAGAAAGTGTGCGTGTGCCACCTCTCGTTTAGTCCTTGGAATGTCCACTGGATGGCGGTGCTTCTATATGGCGAATATATGATGAAAAGATACGAGATGGTGGTACCTGGAGTGTTGAATAGATGGACGAACGGACACACAGACAGATGCATGGATGGACGCATGAACGGACGCAGGGACGGATGCATGGATGAACGCAGGGATGGACGCACGAACGGACGCACGAACAGACGGGCGGATGGACGCATGGATTGGACGGTCACACAGACGGATGGAAGCAAGAACGAATGTACGGACGAATGCTTCGCCCCACTCTGCATCATTCACTCTGTGGATATGCTGCCAATTTTTTTCTACATTAAGCACTATTCCTTTGTGTCGAGACTACGGTGTGCAAAGCGATATTGATATCACTCTGTGTGAGTGCCTCTTTTAGCCGCCACACACGGGTGGCGGAAGTATTTTATTCGTTGGTCGCGACTGGATTATCAACTTCGGGCTGTCCAGACGGCCCATAATGCGGCCTTCCTTTCCCAACGTGAAAGCAGACCGCAGTATTTCCCTTGTAAAAATGGGATGACGTATTTACGGACCTCAATGAAGTATATAACCAACATAATTGTTTAACATTAAGCAACAAAGGAAGACTTTTATTGGGGAAAGAGATTTAATCTAAATAACGCCCCATACCTTAACGGACAAAAGAGGTGTCGTCACGTGACAAGCTTAGAGCAACACCTTCTAAAAGGTATGCGGTGCTCTTTGTGGTGGGTTGCCCCGCAGCGGAGGTCTAGTGGCTGAGGTACTCGGCTGCTGACCCGCAGGTCGCGGGATCGAATCCCGTCTGCGGCGGCTGCATTTTCGCTGGAGGCGAAAATGTTGTAGGCCTGCGTGCTCAGATTTGGGTGCATGTTCAAGGATGTCAGGTGGTCGAAATTTCCGGAGCCCTCCACTATACGGCGTCTCTCATAATCATATGGTGGTTTTGGGACGTTAAATCTCGCATATCAGTCATCTAATCTAACACGTCAGCTTGCAATCAAGTAATGTAATTGACGGTGCGCTAACACACGTGTCACGACGCATTTTCGCAGATAGCAAATGCTTCAGCTAACTCTTTTATATGAGTGAGATTCAGTGTGTAAACAGTGCATGGTCGTGCGTCCAAATTACTGGGATAGGCATTCTTCATGTCGGGAAAGAAATCACAATAATATGTGTAATAAATCACCTATTTTGGCACCCGTTTATGTGTGTAATAAAGCGCGAAAAGCCTATTTTTACAAAGAAAAATGTTCTGTACGCAGGGAACCGTTCTTAGACCAAATTACCTCAGTTTGGGGCAGCAACGAATGATCATATACGCCCGCGTGGTAGAACACCAGTAAACCTGTGAAGGACGCATCAACTAGAACCATAGGTCGGCAAAACTTGTGGACCTCATTCAAATTCGCTCATGAAATATATATTAAGCTTTGGACTAACTCAGACTCGCGTTCACGAAAATTTTCACGAGCCAGACTCACTCGGACTAATACTCACTAAATTTTCTTCAGCCGGACTCACTCTGAATCAAACGCACTAAAATATTGCTCACGCGGACTCACTCAGACTCAGACTCACGGCTTGATTTGAGTCTGAGTGTGTCCGAGTGAGTCGACTTACGAGTCCGTCCGCCTAGAATTAGCTTCTTTGACCGTGGTATCAATGCTCTTTAACACAAATGTCTCACGTAATTGGTGATATTCGTGGTTCCGCTGAACATATATCATCTTTTAAAACGACTTTTGAGTGCGTCCAAATTAGTAAGGTCATTTTTCTTAGAAGAGATGACAGCATAAGACATAATAATTAGGAAATTTCCTTGGGGGGGGGAGAAAAGGCACCCCCGGCATTTACGTAATTCACGCCTCTAATTATTAAATATTGAAGCGATGTGTGAACGACACTACTTCGAATCAGAGTGCTTTGAAGTAGCTCGAGTAACGTGAGTATATAAGTGAATCCAGGTAAGGCTGATAGTAATGCTGAAGATGACTATATATAGATGGGAGTCTAGAACACATACCTTTTGTTTATTTTCTGCTCTCGAGGTCTTACCACAGTTCTTAAGCTAATAAAATGGCCCTGAATAAACACAAGTGGTTGCGCTATCAGTACTTTCGTGATCTTGGTACAAAAATTCGTTAACTTTAATAGGGAATTGTACTTCGCCATGGGGGACGGAAAGATGTCGTATTATTGAAAGATGAGCTAGTTGGTATGAGTGCATTGTAACTTATTTTTAGAGCACACTGACAAAGAAAAGAAGGGTACAACACCAGCGCTACTATCAACTGAAGGTTTTATTCAGAAAATAAACATTTATATATCAATGTAGTTACCCCCTGCCCATGCGCACCGTCACAATTTCAAATCTCTTTGCCTTACATTGCATTTGGCCTTACACTGCGCAAAGTATGGATGCGAGGCACGCTTTTCAAATACAATCATTTTGTTTAGGCACCATGATCGCACCGCACGAGAGATCGCGAAGGCATATCATATCAATTTTAGGCATCATTTGGCAATCATCCTTTATCAGGCACCCGTCAGTGACAATTTTCGAAAAAGAAGTGTCACTGCTAAGGCGGATAATGAACACATGATCGAGATATGGTACGATAGACGTGGATTTGAAATTACGACGGTGCACATGGGCAGGGGGTGTTGTTGTTGTTGTTGTTTCACTACATTGATACATAAACGTTTTTTTTTTTTTTTCTGAATGAACCTTTAGTTGATAGTAGCGTTGGTATTGTGCCCTTCTTTTATTTGTCCGTGTGTCATTGTGCGCTAAAAATAAGTTACGAAGACGGAAAAATGTTTCCTTACTACATTTATTTCGCAGAAAAGCTGCACATTCGTGTTATGCGCGCGCCAATTTCTCACGGTAAGGCAGCTAGCGACACTACATGGTCGTTTTTAAAACCTGTCAAAACATGTCGGCGCACATGAGCGTCCCACGTGCGTGCGCGACAGTAGCTCTGTAGGTTTTAGTGAATCTTTTCTTTAATCATTCTGCAGCTTTCTTGATTCCGACTGTGCCAGTTTTTATTAATTTATATCTTGTAAAGGTAAGCCACGCTCACTTTCTGAGGTTCGATCTCGCTTTTGTTGATGCCCGTAGCATCAGTGAAGCTGTGCAGTTCTAAACCTCCCTATGTTTTGATAACTTCTTGCTGTGTTATGAAAGCTTTCTTCAAAAGTTCATACTGTCCTCGGTCATCATCGTAATGTGTAGTCGAGGCAGGAATGTTCAAATTTACGGCGAGTGCAATGAGGTTGTTTTGTTAGCTGTCACGTTGTGCTTTCGTCACGTACCCCATGTGTATCGTAACAGCGCGTTCAGATTTGCTGACGGCTCCGTGCAAAACAAAAATTAATGAAACAGTCCTCTTGCTCAATGTGGTAATAAACAGGAACTCCAACAGGTAATCATTTATGTTACTGTACTTCGCGATTGTTGGAGAACATCGTAGCGTTACGTAACCACTTGTCAACGTCAAGAGTTGTTCCATGTGGAAACATGACAGTAGTGCTTGCCGTCCACATGTGCAAACGGTGTCATAATGCAGTACATGGATTTTCTACATGCATTTTAGGTCTCTCTATGACCGTGATGCTACGCAGCGATCATTTCTGGAGTTTGCGGTGTTCGCATTGTGAAGTTCATTTTGCTCTCGCTTATTTCCCTCTGGTCATTTCTTTGTCCTAGCTGTCTGCGTTTTCGGCATCGCAGTGTAAGTGAAACAGCATTGCCTGTTTTGTTGCTGTTTTCAGCGTTTCGAGTACTTAATTTTCTCGATCGTCAAAACACGTTAACTCGTCTAGTGCGGCGATGAACCAAGAAGCTGGGAAAAGTATACAGATCAGTCGGAAAAGCTCGATTCGCTTCGCGAATCGCGCCGGTGGCTGCAAATTTGTTCTTGTCGTCCAGCTGAGCTGACGTTTTCCGTGAGGTTTGGAGCAGCTACAGTGCTAGCCACGCGGGAACATTTTCGCTCCAATCATCTGGGAAGTAGCAGATTGAGAAGTGACGTTGGAAAAAGGATGTCACCCCACTGGCGCTCTGTAACAGTGTGTATGTGTAATATGTAAGTGGCGTGATGTACACTTGTATTCAGGTTGGGGAACTCTGCATAGTGTTAGTACACTTTAGGAGGTATCAGTATTTGTTTATAGTTAACGCTTATAAACGTCATCCCGATGTTCAGAATAATAGAGCTGAGCTCATTGTCTGAGGTGTTTGTGGTGTCTTGACTTCTCCCTCTTGTCCATGTTTGCGGGCCCAGTCTCTGAAATAAGGCAAACCCACCAGTGAGGACCAGCCATGGCGCAAACCTCTCTTGCACGGCAGTTGCAGAAGCTTGCAGCACCACAGACGTCGCTGCTCAAGGAGACCAAGAAACGTGCCTCGTTTCTCTTCGACCCCCGTGAAGCAGCTGCCCTTGACACCGACACTGCGTACGCCATAGGTAACATTGTTTTTTTGCATTGCTTTCATATTTCAAAGCAACTGAGTAACAACGGTTGGGATGTTCGTAGTAGCATATATTGCAGTAGTTGTAATCCAGACAAAACAGGTGTTCGCGGCTTGAAAGGTGGAGGCTGATGAGAAGTCGATGAACAGTAAATGCTTGCTGGCATCACTGCTTTCTGAAAGGAGAATTGTCATCGTCAGGGTAGCATTTTTATGTTAAACCTAGTGCACTGCCTTGCAGGTTGGATCAGTAGCTACATGCCCAGCTGCTGATCCAAAGGTCAGTGTGATCGATTCCGGGTACCGTAATTGCATTTTTGAGGGAGGCAGAACGATATAGGCCAGTGTTCTGTGTGATTTCAGTGCACATTAACAAACACCAGATGTTCTAAATTTATGGAGCCCTACACTATGCTGACTCTCATAATCGTATCGTGGCATCGGGATGTAAAATTCCAGATAATATAGTTATTACAACCTCACTCTTCCCTCGTTCTCAATGGGAGAAAGAGGAGGAGAATGGCTTCCTACATTGATTGGGGAGTGGCCTAGGTGTAGGCACAATAACGTCACTATGAAAGCAGATACAGATTTCACTAAGGCAAGTGCCCTTGTGGAAATTTGACTCCAGCAGGCATTTTTTTTGTTCAACAGCTTTTGATAATTGGCGGCAGTAGTCACTTTGACTAATAATACTGCATCACAACTCGAGGCAGTCTTAGTGCCTACTTTCACTAGATCTGGACAATATATTGTGATCTATAAGAGAAAGAAAATGAGCTTCATTCATTAATACTAGCCTTGGTCATGTGGCATGAGGGCTACACACATTTTTGATGGATGCACAACTTCTTGGGTGCTTTTGCAGAATGCGGCAATGGTCAAGCAAACCACCACATGTTAGTTTGTTTAGGACATTCCTGTTTCGAATTATTTATAACAGTGGCACAAATGAAAAGTAGGCACATTCAAGATTCCTGTCGTTTCTCCCATGCTTTGTTCTTCTTGCGCTACAGTTCAAGATGACCAATTTCGCCAGCTCGCTCAATTTTTTTTTTAATTTGATGTAGCTAGTAGTAAGTGTGGCTTTCTCCATTAGTGGATGGGTGATTGACTTTGCGAAAATTATTAACGATCATTGCTCATATGCTTATGAATAATAACAGTAAGTTATATTTAAGTTTGTCATCATTATTTATCAAATTCTAAAAGGCCCTATATAAGGCATTACATATGTTGAACATAAAGATAAAACAATTTGTGAAAGTGTGAGAATTATCAAGTGCAGTTGGTGGCTAGATGCAATGTCAAATGAGTACCAAAAGGAAAAAAAAACAAAACAACAACAAAAATCTTTATTGAAAAGAAGCTTTGTTCAAGAAATGATTAGTGCAAGAGTCAGCTAAAAACAGAAGACAGCAGCTCTCTGAATTTGGCTTGGTGGCGCTCTTGAACAAAATATTCAGGAAGACTGTTCCGTTGTTCAGTGGCTGATGACAAGAAGTTCCAGTGAGTTGCTTGGGATGTAAAAATGTAGCTATCATAATTGAATCCCAGTGAGTATTCTAGGGACACATCACGACGCCTGGTAACGAGAGAGTTCTGGGATAATAGTAACAATCGGTTGCTCGGTGTGGAGTTCCTGTCTGGTTTTTCTGGTTCAGTTGTACCATCAGGTAAGTGAAAAAAAAAAATGCTTACGATGCCTTTGGATCAGTCCAGAAAGATAATAAGGCCTACATTCATTGTCAACAGAGCCTTTGAAAAGGCATTTGAGATCTTTTGCACCACACAAAATATGCGATACCATATGTGGCACAAGTACATTACCTCATGGCACGCTTATTGTTACCATATTTCTAAGACAAAACACAAAATAGTGGATTCGTTTAATTAATTAGTAATTCAGTTAATTAGCGTCTAATTACCTGAATGATATGTTTTGTTTTATTATTATTAAATGGGCAGTATATAAGGAGAGGTTGGGGCAAATGTGTGGCGCCAGCCACTCCTCTCGCACAACAGTCAACATTGCATGTTAGATACGAAACACAAGGCTATACAAAGGTAAATATCACAACACTTATGCTCAGCGTCCAAGTTTTTCAATACAAAAATCTGTCCACTCCACACAGAGTTTGGAAAACCATAATCACACAACTGAAATATCCACGCTGTGGGGTCTCGAATAGGTGAGCGAGCGCCACGCCACGCTCTTGGAGTGAAAGGACGCTGTTGACACGGTCGGTACAAACCAAACAACATACTTTTATTTGACTACTTTTGAACTACGATATCGTCCGCCGAATTATCATATACCAATTCTTATCAACTACATAGGTCATCCTTACACAATATTACCATACGCTCAAAACATGACAAACACACAATAACACACCCAAAGCGGCGGCGCCAACGCTCGACTTACCACCTGGGCCCCCCAGCGCTCAGGCCCGCAGTGCCACGCGCCGAGAACCCAGGCTAGATACAACCATTCGCGGCAACCGCCACGCGCAGAAGAGGCTCGCTCAACTCTCACCCGCCACCAAGGCTTGCCTTCCGCCAGGGGTCACTACCGGGGCTACCACTGTCACAGCCATGATGATTATGACAGTGGTAATCAACGCCACCTACCACTTGGTAGCTGTAACCCGAAATGCGGCCCTTGGGCGAGACACGTGCGCCACACAACGCAAACAATCCTACAGGGGGTGTCAGCACCCCCACATCCCCTTAACCTTAAATCAAACCATATCCCGAAAACAAAAAGATCAGCTACACAAGCCTTACAACAAAAATGACATCACATGTCCATAATGTCCTTGAACCGCCGGTCGACACTGCTGCACTGCCCGGCTCGACTTCAGATCAGTAACGGCCCCGCAACAGCAACGTTGCCGTCGGCGCGACGAACCATCGCTAGCGCCGACATGTCTTCCAGTTGCGACCAGCACTCACGAGAGCGCCGGACTGCAGGCAGCTGCGCAGGTCCCAGGCATCTTCATCGCCCGACCTCACGACCGCATTCCTGGCCAGCGACGCTGATGATGTGCAGAAGACAGCCGGCTGTGGATGACATCCCTCCCGCTGAATACATAAAAAAAAAAAAACTCGAAAGAAACAATAGAGCAGGGCCTAGGGAAGGGAGCCTCGGGCTTTTCGGCCGCGTGGTACGATAGTCAGTACTGCTAGCCTATACATCGGCGGCGGCCAAGGCGCCCATCAAAATAAAACAAAAATCACTTTTCCTAACTTGTGCATCGCAAGATAAAAAAAAAGTGAGGGAAGCAGAGCGCAACACACTAACGCCACAATCCACATAGTTGTGCCACATGCGACAGGCGGCTGTGCAGAGCCTTAGGCCTAATGAGTCGCTCGGCAACAACCGGCATCCACCCAGCACCCAGCCTAGGCGCAGAAGAGGAAGCCGGAGGAGACATCTACTCTGTGAGGTGGCCCTATCGCTCGCCGCACGCAGCATCTCACCAAGCGATCGGCGTCCACCACCCCGGGCAGTGTTACGACGCCCCAGCGTCGAGCCGCAATACAAGTCAGCAACGACGCCCGGCTCTCTGAGCCCAAAAAGGTAGAAGAAGCCATTTACAGAAAATCGGACCACCCACGAGGCTTCTGTACTCACTCAATTCGGGCCTGGCCTACAAATCACGTGCTCTAGGCCTTGCTCACCCCAGGATGCAGACCGCATGGCTCTCGTCCGAATTCAACAAAGGTTTTGAAAACTAACACAACAACAAAAAAACACTTGCGAGCAGAAAAGAAATCAACCTGCCGACAAGTTCAAACACGTCACAAAACCGATTTTTTCGCTTCTCAACAGAGCACACCGTCGACGCCAGCAAAGAAGTCCCCCTAGGCCTACTCTACCCTGGTTCTAACAAAAGCTTATACCGAACCGCAAAAACTGCTGTCCGATACTTCAACAGTTGGGCAGCCAGTGTGGGGTCTCGAATTGGCGAACAAGCGGCACGCCACGCTCTTGGAGTAAAATGACATCGTTGACACGGTCGTTACAAACCAAACAACATACATTTAACTTCTTTTGAAGTGCGATATCTTCAGCCGAATTATTATACATCAATTGTTATCAACAACCTAGGTCATCCTTACACAATGTTACCATACACTCAAAACATGACAAACACACAATAACGCACCCAAGGCGGCGGCGCCAACGCTTGACTTACCGTGTGGACCCCTCGGCGTGCAGGCCCGCGGTGCCACGCCCCGAGGATCCACGCTACAGACAATCGTTCGCGGCAACCGCTAGGCGCAAAAGAGGCTCGCTCAACTCTCGCCCGCCACCAAGGCTTGCCTTCCGCCAGGAGTCACTACCGGCGCTACCACTGTCACAACCATGATGATGATGATGACAGTGGTAATCAACGCCACCTACCACCCGGTAGCTGTAACCTGAAATGCGGCCCTTGGGCGAGACACGTGCGCCACAAGGCGCAAACAACCCTACAAGGGGTGTCAGCACCCCCATAACACAAAATATGAATGTGCACTAAAATGTTGTCAAAGGTGACCATGTCTCTCGGGAGCAATCTCTTAAATACTGCACTGATTACTGCATCAGCAGACAAACACAACAGGTGACTAGCAGTGCCCCTTCTTTTGCCTTCAATGAAGCCATCGCCGTGCGGGCTTATACTCATTGCATCATGCTGCACAACTTTTTTGTAGAACACAAACCACCCCTCCAAACACTTGCATACAGCAAATTGTCAGCGTTGTGCATGGGGCCGTGGAAACGGGCTAAAGTGTAGTGAGGCTGTACAATGCTGTGAGGGTTCTTCCCAGAAATTTTTGGGGGTGTAGCCGGGAAGGGGGTTATATTAAGTTTAATCGTTTCAAGTTTTCGAGCTTCTGGTTTTTAACACACATCCACATTTCATTTACTGGTCGTGCATTTCGAGCCTCTATGACGCACATAGAAAATCTAAGAAAGGGTATTTGTGTTCTAGGACCGGCACCGTGGTTTGCATTATTCGAAACCACAAGGCTACCTGTTTGGACTCGCTTTTACATAACAAAGTGATGGGAGACGTGTGTCACTGGCTTTGCGTGCGCACATCTTCTTATTGGTTTCTTTGGTGCACATCTCAAAGGGGTAATTGAAGTGGTGGGTGTCATTTTCACTGCCTCCCCCTGCAGGGATAACCCCCAATGTGACCCTTTGTGGTTGCTTCTTGCAGGCACTACGGGCCTAGAGGAGTTGACGACGCTCAACGAGGCCTTCGCACGCTTTGAGGAGAACCTTTTTTCGGAGAGTGCCAAGTTCCTGGAGCGAGCTGTCAAGAGCAAAGAGGAGAACGCCATTCTTGATGGCCAGATTGAGGAATTCCTGCTTCTCCTGTCGCCTCACTTTCTGCTGCGGCCAGCGCACAAAGCCCTCGAGTGGCTCGTTTACAGGTGAGGCGGTGGTGTAACTGCCAGCTTTCATAAATTTTCTGGAATGTTTAGAAAGTTTTGTAAGGATTGAGAAAACCTGAGAGGTGTAAAACCTTAACTTAAAACAAGTTATGTCGGTCTTCCTGACACCTCTTCTGCTTGCAGGTTCCACGTGCACGAGTTCAACGTGGATGCAATCCTGCGCTGCATACTACCATTCCACGAAACGCGCGTCTTTGCTCGCGCCCTCCAACTGCTCGACTTGTCCAGCAAGACCTCCAAGTGGCACTGGCTTCACTGCCTCCAGGTCAGAGAGGCACGCTTTTTGTCAAGGCATACTTAGGGACTGGTATCAAATAAAGTTAGGCATACGTTTTCGTTTAGTGTTTACCAATGTTCCTTTGTGTAAATGTTCATGTTGCGTATTCATGTGGCACAACCTAAGGTGAAACATAGAAAAAGGAATTGCTTGGCAAATGGTCGATTCTCTTCGTCCTGAAGCTCGCCCAACCATAGCCTTGTGCTAGTTGGCGCGTGCGTTGTGCTAACATTTTTCCTGGTACTTTAGGAACACTGTAAGAGAGAACCATTAGGTTAGTTTTAACTGTCTGAAAGTTCTTTAACGTGTGTCTAAATCGCGAGCGCACGACTGTTATTTCAACGTGCGGGCGCTCGTTTCCTGGCAAGATTTGTGGGGAAATGTGTGTGAGTGGAACAGCATGACAGCATAACAAAATATGAGTCACTGCATAAAGAAATTGCGAGTCTACAGTTACCATAAGACTAGTGTCCCAGCTCACTCTTTTTACTCGCATACAACCATCGCTTGTTAAACTTGCAATGTTCGCAAGAGTATTGGCGAATAATGGCTAATAATGTAAGCTAAATGGTTAATATTGGCTAATATCAGCTATTGTTACCATTTCCTGTTAAATAATGGTACCGTAAATAGTGCTTACTAACACCTGACAGTTCTCCTCTGGGCAGTGTCTAATTCAATTTCTCTTTGATTCCACCCATGTATTTTTTAAGCAGTGCTGCTCTCAGGCCAGTCAATCAATCCGTTGTTACTTCTTATGTTATGTAGCATAGGTGTACTGAATGCATCTGTTTACCCTTAGAAACCTGGCCTGTCATTGACCAAGACTGCCCTTGTGACACAGTGCACGCGAGACCCAGGCACCCTCAAGTTCATCTGTGAAGTTCTTGTTGCTATGGCAAAGGTGAGGAGAGCATGAAGAGAAATTCGAATCACCGAAAGAAGGTGATCACGTGTTCATCTTGTATTTCAGCAGAGATTATGAATTGTAGGGGTCTGTCTTAGCAGCCATAGATTAAGGCCTTCGTCATGAATGCTTATCAGTTTGATATAAGTCGATTTTAGATATATTAAACTCTAAATGGATCGCAAAATAGTTTGATATGTCGATGATTCTAAATACAAAATATGTGCATTCAAGGCCTAAATTAAAGCATTTCAGTCTATCGAAATTGTTACGAACACCAACATAACAATTTATTCAAAGTATGATGAAGAACAAGGTGTGAACTGCAAGTTACTGCACTTTATTTCACGAGAAAATAGTCCGTAAACTTGTCTTGCTTCTTGTGTAGAGGAAAAAATGAGCCGCCGTGCCCATGGCGAAGCCCACTCATCCACCTCTTCTTTAATTTGAATGCTGGTCCTCCCTTAATGATAATAGCAACGTTCGTCATCATTTACACAATATTTAACATCCTTCGCGCCCCCGCATTAACACATGTTGATGAAGAACACGAACACACTTAATTTCGAAGCACACGCTGTTCAAGAGACTTGTATAAGCCCAGGTCAGTCCTTGTGGAGAAATCCGTGATATCCTACCGCGCCTGCTTTTCCAGCGGTGCTTTCGTTGCTTGTCCACACTCATGCTTCTGAACCCTTTGACCTTGACGAACTTGCGTTGTCGCTGAGCAAGTTTCCTTGGCATGAAAATTCGCAGATAAGACGATTACAGGAATATCTCGTGTAGCTATACTTGATGGGCCTTTTACTTTTTTTTCTGTTCATTGCTGCATTTACCTTGTAACCCTTTCGCCTTCGTCTGGTCTCTCTCATTCTCTGCTGTTGCGCTGTGTCGGCATTTATCAACATTGCGGAAATAAGATGTGCCATGCACGCTCTTTGCAATATTGACTTCTGTAGCTTTCTCGAAGAACCTAAGCTTTAAGCAGCTGTCACGGGTCCCGTTAATTAGGGAGGTGATCGCCGGTCTAATTCCAAGGGCCGGAGTATCGGCCCCCCGAACCGCACCACGAAAGCGTGGACAATTTAGAAGTGGTCCTATTTGGCGCGCCAGCGGACGCCGGCTGTGGCCCAAAGAACAAGTCAGAGCCGAGAGTTGATAAACAAAACAAAATTATATTCTCAATTATGGCAGATCAAAACAATACACAAGTATGCACACTCCACAATAGTTAATACAATAAGTCACCAATCAAACAACGTACTACACAGTACAATCAGCCACACTTCAAACAACGGACACGGACAACAATACGCACTACAATTCAGTTGCATGCATTGAACAACCAAGACACTTAAAGACTAAAGAGTTAGAAAACTTATTCAGTTCAAAGTTTTTGGAACAAGAGTCTGAATGATACTCCTCCGAGAATCACTCACTCAAAGTCCAGCGTTGTTGTCGTTCCGCTGCCCCCGAAGTTTCTCTTCCAGGAAACCTCGCGTCTTCAATTGGCCGCTCTCCAAGCTCCAAACTTCTTCGCTGGTAACACGTCAGCTTCCCACACGCAGCTGTTGCCACGCGTCTTCGCTCGCTGGCGGCAGACACACACTCTTGCCTGTAGCTCGAGTCTTCACCCCTCAGGTGGAAATCCTCTTCTTCTCCTCCTTTGTCACTGAGAACAAAAGGCTTCGCCGACAAGGCGGAACACCCTACGCACTCTGGCGCAATATTCCTTCTTCTCCTGCTTTGTCACTCAGGACAAAACCTTCGCCGACGACACGGCAGAACACCCTACGCACTCTGGCGCATACTTTCTTCTTCTTCTGCTTTGTCACTAAGGACAAAACCTTCACCGACAGACGCGGCGGCATGACCCTACGCACACTGGCGCTAACTTCCTTCTTCTCCTGATCTCCTATCTCTGCTGCTCGCTTAAATACCTTCCGCGCGAGATTCCAGAAAGTTCTCATCATTTCGTCGGCGCAATACGCAGCGAAAGCTGGGGAAAGCACGAGACGGTACGAGGGCTGTCCGTGACAGATGACGCAACCCTGCATCACCATCACCATGCCCCTTTCCATCGAGAACTTTCCAGGGCTTGCTCAAGCGCCGATATGAGGAGGTTCGTCGGCGAACCTACGCTTCCGGGGGGGAGAGGGACGCGCGCCCGGGGAGTCTTTGGATGCTTGTTTTCTTTTTTACCGTTGACCTCGAGGCGTCTTTCCAGAGCTTCGTCATGAAAATTTGGCGGCGCGCCCTTTTTTGAACGCTCGTTTTGTGACAGCAGCACAAGGAGCTGGCTTTTGTGTCGTCGTGACTTTTTGTTTCTTTCTTCTATTCCTTCTCGCTTTGAGAATTGGCCTTGATTTTCCCCCATTGGGTACTTGTATGCAGGGCGGTGAGGACTTTACTACGTCTAAGTCTGCCAGCTTTGGCTTGGACGCATCCTCAACATCTAGTGGGTGGCCCTTTGGGTCTACAAAGTCCTCCCCCTTTTCAATCATGAAAATGCCTCCCACCTCGAACACCGGAGTTGTTTATGTCTCTTGACAATAGGTTCATGGGTATTGCACTCTGACGACAGTTCTACAGGCGGAGGCCAGATCCTTGTAAGTAGTGGTTGTTCTGTACAGGCTCCTTCGATGGTCGTTACTTCAGTCAAAGTCCTGATCGATTGGCATCCACCACTCTCAAGAAGATGTCCTGAAGCTGACTCGACTGGCATCTGTGCTACAAGATTGTTGTCAATGTGCCTTGGCTAGATGGTCGCGACGCAGATGCAGAGAGCGCCTTTTTTTCTGCTTCCATTTATTCTGTAGTCTTGTTGTCTCCAAACGAGCCTGCCGTAGCTTTAATGCGTCGGCGATTTTATATTCAGTTCTGACTTTCTCTAGAATGATCTGGCGCTCATAAACTTCCGCCTCCTCCATCTCAGATTCCAAATTATCGATGTTAACTGCATTCTCTACTTCCTTGTGGATTCTTTTGAGTTCCTCACACTGCTCAATCAAAACTCTGTGAATACATCGTAACTCACAGATTGGTGGGGGATTCAATTGCCGAATTCATTCGACGTCTGCGATGACCTGTGTGACGGCCTTGTGTGTTTTTTGACTCCGCCTTTCGTAGAGGGCCTCCATGATCCGGTCCAGTGTCGGAAACGTGAGAAGTCACTGGCCGGCCGGCCGTGTCACAGGGCGAAGTTGGAGTCAACATGGCATTCATCACAGAAGGTTCACACAACGAATATTCGTCACTTGTCGGGCAGTCGTTCTTCATCATCTTGTGCATATCGGGTCATTGTCGTGAAGGGCGAGTCAGTACTGAGCTAGAGAAGACATCACTGCTCCCGTCTCGTGAGCCTCCAGACGATGCCTGCACTCACGGGGCTGCTCCGTCAAGATGTACATCGTTGACCTATGGACTCCTTCGCTTGTGAACATCGGGCGAGTCTGAAGGGCGAGTCTGAACGGAGCCGAAGTAGACTTGAGGGCTCCCGTCTCGCGAACCTCCAGACGGTGCCTCAACTCACTGGGCTGCACTGTCAAGATGTTCGTCGTTGACCTATGGACTGCCTTGACTTGTCAATATCGGGCCGTCGTCGTGAATGGCGAGTCAAGAAGGAGCCGAAGTAGATGTGAGGGCTTTCGTCTCGCGAACCTCCAGACGATGCCTGTACTCACGTCAGTCCATGGGTGCTCCTAGTGGTCTCAGTTGCAACCGGAGTCGTGCTCCCAGGTCTCAGCGGTGGTTAGGCCTCGCATATCAGCTTTACCCATGGCGGCCTCACGAAAGTCCTCGAGGCTACGACTGCGGTCGAAATTCGTGCAGTCCGCTCTGTCTCGCCTCCGAAGGTTCTTCCTCTCAGGTTTCGGCACTAGAAAGATGTCGCGTATTCAAGACCCGAGCCCTGCACCAAGAACGTCTATGTTTATTTCTACCGCTCGTGCCCTCCCATTCTTCTTTCCCCTCGGTTCTCCTGCTTGTCGCGCAGCCACAATCATCCGCGACATACTCCCAAGGGGCCAAGACGATCACTAGGCAGTCTCGCTAGTCTAGACCACTTGTCTAGCTCACTTGCCTTTCCAGAAGCTAGTCACTCTAAAGTAGGCGCACAATATTGTTCTCTCCTGGGTCCACTGACCAATTCAGCTATTGTAGCACTGAACGTGCGCTACCGTCAACACAGGAACACACTTTGCAGCTCTAAACAGCGAGGCCTTCGGCATTCAGGCTGTAGCACAAATAACCGTCTCGATGCGTTTCCTGTCAAGCGGGTGATCCGATCTGACCAGTCTTCCCACCAAAGATCTCCCCCGAACTTCCACTGGACGACTGGTTGGCTCTGGAAGACGAGCAGCAACAGCGTAACATCAGCATTGACCTTTGAACCTTTCAGCAATGCATCGTTCTGGCAAGGATGACCTAGCGCATACGCTGGGGCGTCAGGCACAGCACTAAGCCTCGGTGTGACAGCACTTTCGTGAATGACTGCATGATGAGGCGCATAATAGCCATTGTCTTGTGGCTGTGGTACTTCCAATCGCCTTGTTTGTTTTTTGCTAAACGCCACTGTGACTGCCTCGCCACGGTGCCTATACAGTTCAGAATGGTTCTTGAACCAGTCCAATTGCACTTATGTATAACCTTCTCCCAATCTTCGATGATCGCTACCTGAATGTCGGCCCAAAACTTGTGGTTTTAGCGGAACCTTGTAGCAGCTGTCAAACTTGATGATGTCCTGTTCGGATGCCTCAAGTTCTGGTGAACCCTTGCTCCTATTCTTAGCAGGGGCCTTGATCCCCATGATGCCGAGACGCCACATTGCAGAACGATCATCGTTAGGAACAAACTTCGTGCTACAGTACAGGAATAGAGCGCTCGTGTATGCTGAACGTCTCTCGTGTTACAGGGTGCCCTGACCGGTCCAGCCAAACTTGGTTTATATGGCCGTAAGATCACTGGACAAGTGATCTATCTTTGCAGTTGCTATCTTCCAGTAGATGTGGGAACCAAGCAAAACGCTTACTTCCTGTGGGTGCCAGGTGTTGGGATGAAAGTTGTCTGCAGCGTCATAGTTCTTGTCGCACAAAAGCTGCGAAACATCAGTACTGAGTGGGGGACTTGTAACTGCACACACTTCGGGTACTTCCAAGACCTCCACGGTTATCGCCATGTCCCTACGTTGGCCTCGTAGAGTCAAAGTTACCCGTCGACTGCGTGTTACTTCGCGGAGCTTCGAGTGGCCGAACATAACGAAAGAAACTTCTTCGGTTCTGATAACTGGGCGTCTGAGGTCCTTAGAGATATTCGCTCGGATGAATGTGAGCTGGCTGCCGCTGTCAAAAAGGATGTGCACGAGATGCTTTTGGGACCCGCACTCCATCCAGACTCGTCCTGTTTCAAGAAGGGCGGCGTTGATTCCGCTCAGGCTTGGGACCGATGTCACTGAAGGCGTGTTAGTGCCTCGCCCGGTGATGCGCAGGTGGTCTTGGTTCACTGTCGTTGCATTTGTACAGGTTGGGGCTGCCAGTGTGAAGCATTTACTACAGGTGATGCTGCGTTCACGTCGGCAAAAACGCGCCATGCGGTTTTCTCCACATCTGCGGACGACTTGGCTGGCACTAAGGCGAGCAGGTGGTCAACGTGCTCATTGAAAAGCAAGTCGTGTTGACCAAATCGCTCCGTCAAGGTCTTAATCGTGATGTTGTAATTGTCCTCGGTTAGTTGGATGCCTTCGGTTGCTCTCTTTGCTGCAGCGCTCAAATAGGACTGAAGGTACTTAAACTTCTCCATCTGTGAAAGGTCTTCATTCAGGTGAATTGTGGCACTGAAATGGTCCCAGAAGGACTGCCAATCGCGAAGTGTGCCGGAAAGCGTCGGGATCTGTAGTTTGGGCAGAACCACCATGCAATGACGCGGCATCGTTTCTTGACTGGGAATCGCATCGGCTACTCAAGAATAGTCACTGACCTGACTCTGGGCTGCGTTGCTGGCACCACCGGCATCGGCGTTGGGTGATGTAGCCATCAACCTCGCAGCTCTCGTTCCTGTCGCCTTGTTTGCGGCCTCTCGGAGGAAGAAACGCGCTCGGGACACGGGTAGGAGACCCTTCAATAGTACTGTTCCACGACCTCGAGCTCTTCCTCGTAGTCGTCGTCATCAGTCCCATTGAAGATTTTTTTGTTTAAGGTGACAAGTTCAGTGTTCTTCTGAGTGTAGTAGGCAACGTGGGAGTTGACCTGGCTGGCATTGGGAATGGAGGCCTGCAGCTCGTCGGTAATGGTGCATTCAGACGACGGACCGAATCCGGATTTGTCGTGGACGCGGACAGCTAATCCGCGGATGGTCCGCCTGCAGGCGCATCCACACGACGGACGGTGTCCTAGGGGAAAACAGCCGGATTACCCTCGACAGCAGATTCGGCGCTCACCTGCGCCCGCTGGCAGCAGACTGGTTTGAGAGTATTCAACATGGATGCCCGCAAGAAGTGAAGCTTGGCTGCGATGTCTGTCGTGTTGTGACAAATGAACGAGTAGTGTTATTCTTTCAGGAGAAAAGGGAGTTGCTAGCAGGATATTCTTTCAACTACATTATTCCCCACTTGTAGAACTTCTAAACGTGTCTCCCGCCTTTCTTTAGAAGCGGCACGTCGCCGGTTGCAAAAGTTAGAATATTTCACCACCATGACGTCTAAGAATCTCGCGTGTTAAGCGACGGCGGCGACATTTCCCGAACCACCAAAAGTGATTTCTGCATATTTAATCACCTGAGAACATAGTCCCCGGAACCTAAGTAAACAATGCTCAAGCGTAAATGATGCCGACCAGTCATGCAGCTGTCCGCGAGCCATGGAGGACATGCCGCGAGCAGACGAAAAGTGTACTGGTTGCCACCGACCCCGAGCTAATCCGCTGAAGTACCGGCTCTCCCCCGCCAGAATCCCGATGTGAGAAACAGGTTGGGTTCATCCGTCCGCGTGCCGCGCGGACGAGTCGCGGACGAGGGGAATCGCTGATGTGAGGTCACGTGACGCGCCGTCCGTCCCGCCACATCGGGATTCGATCCGTCGTCTGAATGCACCATAAGGAGCATGATAGGTGGGACGCTGGTCCTGACGACGCCACGGTTCTTGTGCAGCCGCTCCAACGACGCCATCGGAAGTAGAAGTCTTGAAAGGGTGTGACCGGGGGGGGTTTCGGCACCAGAAAGATGTCGCGTATTCAAGACCCCGGCTCTACACCAAGAACGTCTATGTTTATTTCTACCGCTCGTGCCCTCCCATTCTTCTTTCCCCTTGGTTCTGCTTGTTGTCAAGCGGCCGCAATCATCCACAACATCTTGCGCGCCGTCAAGTTCCAGTCATCCTCAATGTCATTAAAACTTTTCACATAAGCGAATTCAGCTCTTTCAGCCTCAACAGCATCGATTGTTGCAGAATGCTGATGCAAGCTCTGTAGCACGGCAAAAAGGTTGGTTAGAGGCAGCAGAGAAGGTGTTGGCATAATAATAACTGCATATTAATAACCGGCAGTTCAGGCATGAAAGATACCAGTGCACTTGCAAGCGCCGCTAATCGAACCAGATCAGCACGATTGAATAACATCGCCTTTTCGTCAATTGTGCGAAAAGAAAAAAAGATGAGGATTTATTGAGAACACAGTTGTTGAAAATTGATCAATATTTGCTTTGTGCAAAAATGAACTTTTTGGGCTTCGGCGCGGTGCGGCGTTTGATATAGTCGATGTTCTGCTGTGCTAGAGTTCAGTATATGGGTGCACTGATCCTATACTTCTGCTTAGTACTATTTCTTATGTGGTCAATATAGCCAATAATTTCATGTATCCGAGTTTCATATATTCAGGATCGACTGTAGGGTAAGTATAGACTGTATTTCGTGCATGTACAAACCATGTTTTGGGACAATGTACAGGTACACTCTGAGGACGCTGTGGCACTGCGGCCTGTTATCGGCCTGTACGCCTCCGCCGTTCTGGGCACGCTGGAGGCAATGAAGAAGATCACAGACCAGACGGTAGCAATGCTGCTGCCATACATTCTGAAAGGCCTGGCATCGTCGGCGATTCCTGACCACCGTGCCGCTACCTACCTCGTGGTCGGCCAGCTGGCTCGGCGCACGGTTCTCAACCGAGAATTCTCACACGAGTTGGTCGTCCGAGTTGCCAAGGTGAGTAGGGTTGCTTTGCAGAGTTTTCTTTAATTTTTTGTTTTTGCGATAGCTAATGTATGGACAGTCATTTTTGCAGTCGCTGTCGCCGTTATGTCCCGAATATATATACAGTCAAATCTTGATAATTCAAGCTCCAAGGAGCCCGAAAATTTGTTCGATTGAAAAAAAGTTCTAATTAATGAAAGCTAAGTAAACAGAGCACTCCCCATGCAGTGGCGCATGTGCATCGAGAGAACACACGAGGGGGAAGTATCAGAAGATTTACATTTATTCACAAATCACAAGACATTGGTCATTAATTGAAGTAATCGATGATGCGCGTCTGCAACTGTTTGCATTGCTGTAAGTCAATCAATTTTGCACGCAGCTTGCAAAGCACGTCTATTTCGGCTTCAGCATTCTCCCGGCCACAGAAGGTACGCGCGGCTATGACCAGCGCCGACACTCTCTAAAGACGACGACTGCTTCGCTACTTCCGTCTGTGTCAAAGCCGCAGCGTGGCCAGCGCGTGACGAGAAAGGAAGAGTGTCTGCACGCAGAGAGAAGCAGATCAGCATTTTAAAAAAACCAAAACTCTACGGCAGCTTTTTTTTTTTTTTTTTTTCTCTCTAAGCACGCGTTGTTAAAAGAGAAAGGGTCTACATCTCAGGGACGAGAAATGGGAAAGCGTGGCACTGGCCCGTGAGAGAGAGCCAACACTCCGCGACAGCTTTTTTTTCTCCTCTCTCTTTTTGCCCCCGGCGTTGAAAGGAGAAGGGTCTTTGCGTGGCAGGGACGGGAAAAAGGAGAAGCATGGCACAGGCGCGTCGCAGATCGTCATTTGAGATAGAGCAAACATTCCACCACAGCCTTTTCTTTCCTTTTCTTTTCCTTTGCGTGCAGCGTTGAGGTGTCGGAGATGCCGCCGCGGAATAGGCCGTGGTGCTGAGAGCATTTCCTGGAGCACGGTATGTTCGAATTAACTATAGAAAATGCTCGTGCAATCAAATTACAGGGCGTTTTCGCGCATTGGAATGCACAAAGCTTTGACAGGACCTTAGCGTGAGTTCGAATTAACCGGAAGTTCGAATATATATATATATATACATATACACAACAAGTCGAACTTTGATGTATCAAACTCGAAGGGGATTGCAAATTAGTAATTTGTTTAATATATGAAAAATTCAATATAAAAAATAGAAGCCCCGAGTGCTTACCTATAGCGAATCATCACCTACAATCGGCGCATTCAAGAATGACAACTAATTAGAATGATTTATTTGCATGACAAAAAATCGCTAATCTTGGCCTGCTTCTTCAATATTGAAATGTTGAAGATGCTAGTCTCGATCTTGTCAAGGCTGTCCAGGTGCGACAGCCCGGTTTCCTTCATGTGGCCAGTACAATGGCGATTGATGCCGAATGCTGCCGCCACTTCAGTGGCAGAGTATGTGCGTGTAGAGCCTCGTCCGGACGGACAATTCTCCTCGTCACATAGGCTGCCCGCCTGGACATTGCAGTCTGCTTCCACGAATAACCGCAGACAATTCGTGTGGAACTGCTGCCGGGAAGCGGGACGGCAACTTGTGAAACGCGTTGTCTATGCGCTCATCGTCGTTGTCTTCACCGGTTTCCGCAAGTTCCACCGTCTTAAACCCTGCCTTGCAGAAGTAGTTGACCACTGTGTCCGTCTTCACGTCTCGCCAGGCATTGAAGATTTCCGCGGGAGAAAACATAGCAAAGATTTACAGCCACTCTTTCATCCCACCCTCCTGGTTGCTAACAGCTTCGCTTCCGCCAGAATTGGTTTTGCCAACGATGTTGTAGCACTGCTTAAATCGGTGAAGCCACCCGCTGTTGTTGGCGAAGTTGTTTCAACGAGTGCAGTGGCAAATTATTTGGCCTTCACGATCAGCATCGGGTCATCCACCGCCATGTTCATCGCGCGCACTTCTAAAAACCAAGCATAGAGTGCCTTTTCTACATTCGCAGCTTTGCCGCCTTTGCCTTGATATCTGCCTTGTTTTTGTGTGCTCCGTAGTATCCCGAAGTCGTCCGCAACGACCAAAAACATTTCTCGCCCGCCTCAGCAGGCTGACTAGCCTTTCAAGGAGTCCGCAGCAAGTGTGCACAACATGCATACAAAAGATAAATGCTGCACATGCGGTGGTACGTAGGCTACGCGACAGCAGTAGCAAAAAAGCGCTTGCGAGGCGACGGCCACCTGCGAGGGCAACAGCAAAATGCGCAAGCTGTGGTTGGGTGATCAAAACTCGCAAAAGAGCAACAAAAAAAATAAAAGAAATGGCGAAAGAAGGAGGACGTGGGCTCCTTCGTTCCTGCTCTTCGAGACGATGGGTATGCAGAGAAAGCATGAGAGAGAGAAGGAGAAACAAAAAAAAAGACCATTCCGCAAGTTTGAGACTGTGCAGTCTAAGCCCTCTCGCCCTTACCTTTTTTCGAGCGTTTCGCGTTTTGGAGGAATTGTGAAACTGCGCGGCGGTCGTTGGGCGTTGCGAAGCGCCAACACGCATCTCCAACTCGCCCGCTGTCGTGGAGACCGTGGAAGAGGGGGCTAGTGCGGAATCGCATCTTCCAGCTCGCGGAGCGTTTGATATATCCGAAGGTAGGTAAAAATGCCGTTCGATATAAATGTGCGAATATCTATACTTTTACAAAAAAAATTTCATGGAGATAACTTGCGAGTTCTATATATGTGGATTCGATATAACCGTGTTCGACTGTATAATATATATATATATATATATATATATATATGTATATATATTGCAACAAGCGTGTTCTTTGGAGGAGTTTCAGCAAGAAACTCGCCAGGGTAAACAAGACAGCTGCAGCACAGAAAACAGGAGGCCGAGAGCGTTCCACACGAATGTCGCCTTTTCTCTCACTGGCACAGAGCTGGCGCCGATGTGCACTGGTACAATTTCCTCCCCGTACAAAAAGGAGCCATCCTGGTGACGGCGACTTAAGAAAAAGACGCTATGCTATAAATGGGTCGTAGCAGGGTTTAAGGGGAGATGCGAGTCGAAAAATCGCGTTTTTAGCGAAACTTCTCGTATTTCAGGTTTTTATTGCATTGTAATCTTCAACCTTCTTCTTTCATCTGTGAAAATTTCAAAACTAAATTCAAACCGCAAAATGCAAAAAAATGTGTATGAAGGCATCGCGGTGGCTCAAAATTTCGTAAATTTGCGCCGATATTGGCCATCTTTGACTGCACGCTGCTCCCCGTCGCAGTGCCGCCCGCCATCGCGATCGGTTGGGAAAGTTGCGTCCGGCCTTCTTCTTACAGCTCCGACGACCGCCAGTTTCATACGTGGGCAAAAAAAAATAAAAAATGAGGCCTTTTTATCACGTTGTTTGAGCGGTTTGAAACGCGCGGCACCCTAAGCCACATCGCCATTGGCTACCGAGTCATTGTCAGCTGTGTTGGTGGCGGCCATGGGCATTTGGTCCGTCTGCTTTTCTGTGCGTCTACACATATTTCCGCGATGACAAGCCTGAAAAAGTGCAACGTGAGACCGCAGATGTTTCGAACGAAGCACAAGTTCAAGGGAAGGCGGCGTAAAGCGCCCCGAACGACGGCGACGAACGAGAACGCGCCTACGTGTGCTAGGCCTGACGGCGGCATCGACGAGTGCGCGAGCGACAGTGGCTGCGATGAAGGAATTGACGCTGCGCTTTCTTTCGTCAGTGCTTCAGAAAAGAAGCTCGGTTTCTTCGAAAAAGACGAAAGACAGCGCGATGAGGTTTGTGCAACGACAGTTTTGTGCGACACCCTCTTGCTGACGGCACTTGTGGCAGGTGCGGCATGCCCTGCTTGCGGTATTCAAAAACTTGCCGTTCGGGAGCCGGCAGAAAAGCGCAAAGGACTTTCGTCGCTCCTCGAACTTCATTGCGAAAACAGCGAATGCTCAGCGACTGTTCTTTCGTGCTCCTATACGTCACTGCGTGTTACGGCGGACGGCAGCAGCCGAGTGAGCCAACAGTAGGACAGAGGGAGCTCCCGAGATAGTTTCGCTGTAAATGTGAAGGCGGTGGTGGCTGCACGCGCTGTCGGCATTGGGCATGAGCAATTGTCGAGATTTTGCTCCATTATTGGACTCCCAAAGCCGATGCACCACCGAGGATTTTTTTCGATAGCAAAGAAGGTGCACACCGCTGCCATGGCAGCTGTGAGTGAAAACTTGCGCCGATCCAGAAAGTTGACGAAAGAAGTAGCAGGCGAAACTGATGTGGCTGTTATGTTCGACGGCACTTGGCAGAAGAGGGGCCACAAAAGCCACAACGGGATTGGCGCAGTTATCTCCTTAGATACTGGCCTCTGCTTAGACTTCGAGGTCATATCAAATTACTGCCTGACATGCAGTAGGCACAAGGATATGGGCCCAGACGAGGAAGTGTGGCAGGCATTCCATGGCCCAGTCTGTGAAAAAAATGCAGACTGTTCCTCCCATGCCATGGAAACGGAGGCTGCAATGCGCATTTGGCAGAGAACATTGACTTATGACACCCCACTGCATTTCATGACATTCTTGAGTGACGGTAACAGCAAAGCATATAGTGCAGATGCAGAGTCAAAAGTCTATGGTGCTGTCAATATAGAAAAAGAAGACTTCACTAATCATGTGGCCAAGAGACTTGGCACCGCGCTACGGAAGCTGCATGTGCCATTACCACGAGGGCAGAAAATGAAAGAGCCAGCCATTCAGAAGCTCCAAACATACTATCAGATTGCCATAACAAGCAACAGGGGGAGTGTACAGGATATGCACACTGCAGTATGGGCTTCGTACTTCCACTCATGCTCTACTGACAATGCTGGCAGCCACAAGTTTTGCCCTGCAGGAACAGAGTCGTGGTGCAAACATCAACGCGCTGAAGCACTTGGTGAACCTGCACCACGCCTTACACCTCTCCTGACAAAAGCACAGGGATTGGCTGTTTTGCCCATTTATAAGCGGCTAACGGATGAGAAGCTCCTTGCTCGATGC